TGGGAGGCAATGATAAAATGGCTGCCATGGGAGGCAGGACCAATCTCAAAATGGCTGCCTTGGGAGGCAATGATAAAATGGCTGCCATGGGAGGCAGGACCAATCTCAAAATGGCTGCCTTGGGAGGCAATGATAAAATGGCTGCCATGGGAGGCAGGACCAATCTCAAAATGGCTGCCTTGGGAGGCAATGATAAAATGGCTGCCATGGGAGGCAGGACCAATCTCAAAATGGCTGCCTTGGGAGGCAATGATAAAATGGCTGCCATGGGAGGCAGGACCAATCTCAAAATGGCTGCCTTGGGAGGCAATGATAAAATGGCTGCCATGGGAGGCAGGACCAATCTCAAAATGGCTGCCTTGGGAGGCAATGATAAAATGGCTGCCATGGGAGGCAGGACCAATCTCAACATGGCTGCCATGGGAGGCGATCAGCAAATGGATGCCACAGGGGGTGCTGGGACCAATCACCAGTTGTTCGGAGGTCCCAAGCCAAGCATCCTTTTGTGAGGGAGGCAGCTGTTCACAAACGGGTGCTCCCTGTGGACCCAAACGTGATGCCTCTTGGGCTCTTCTGAAGCTCCTCTTGTGGGGGGTAAGCCAGAAATGGCTCTTTGTTGGGGAGAGAGATGCTCTGGGGAAGAAGCAAATGGGCATGAGGAAACCTACTGATGGGCACAATGGGGCCCACAGCCAACACACTGGGGATCACTGCACGAAAGGGATGTTTGGAGGAATGGGACCCTCAGGCACGCAGAACTTCACGGAAGGGAAGGGGCAGAACCCAGAGCAAATTCCAAACTCCCTCCCCATCCCCGCATGCAGGGGTCCACTCTGTGACAGGGTTCCCTCCCCCTGCCCCCCAGAGTTGACATATGGGCACGGAGGCGGCCTTCTCAACTGTCCAGCTTTCGGAGACCTTTCTCCCATCCTCCTTATGCATGCATTCAAAGGTGGGAGGGGTGTCACCCTACCTCCCGGGAAGCAAATAATTCAGGATGGGTTTTCTTTCCCCCCAAGGATGGGAGGAGCAGTTTCATTGGCCACCAGCTTGGCGGAGTCCTGGAAGTCCCCAACAGCAAGGACCAGCGGGTGAAGTCGGCCCGAGCCATCCAGATCACGTACTACCTCCAGACCTACCATTCGGCAGCCCAGGACCTCATAGGCGAAAAATGGGAGAACGAATTTTGCAACTTGATGCACAAGCTGCAGCTCAGGTACGAGGACCTGCAGCTGTACGCGCTGGCCTCTTTTAGCCTGTGGAGGGACTTCCACAAGACCAGCTTCCTGGCCAGGGGCAAGATCTTGGTCAGCCTCATGCTGATTCTGTTGACCGCCATCCTCTCCAGTTCCATGAAGGACTGCCTCCGCAGCAAGCCCTTCCTGGGTCTCCTGGGCGTGCTCACCGTCTGCATCTCCAGCGTCACCGCGGCAGGGATCTTTTTCATCACCGACGGGAAATACAACTCGACGCTCCTGGGAATCCCTTTCTTCGCAATGGGTAATTATTTATCTTCGTAATGACGGGATTAGTAGAGGCTTAACGATGGGATTGTAAGTGGTGTCCGGGTCTCGAAAGGTGACGGCCGGGTTTTACTTTTGGCATTTTGCTTTACCTTCCTCCTCCTCCTCCTTTTTAATCTTGTTAAATGGATCCATCTTCTTGCCAAGGGGATATATATATATATATATATTCCCAAACCAAACGAAAAGGGTGAAACGATTGTGTCAGAGCCTCGGCCAATATGAGAGAGGGGGAGCTGGTATCGATCCCAGCTACAAAACGAAGGAGAGATTGTTATTGAAAACTAGTTGCTCAGCAGAGAAAATGAATGGTTGCTTTGCAGACTTGGTTGGGGGGGTTAGTAGACAAGAACAAAGAGAGCTACCCTGAGTTCTCTTTCTCATAAAGAAAAGATCTCCAGCATCCTCTGTGATATATATATATATATTTTGCTCTGGTTACGTAGAAGAGAAAGGATTCACAAAGGACAGGGTCCCCCAACGTGGTGCCTGGGGGGAGGGACCATGGTGCCCGCCAGTACCTTCCTGGAGCCTGCCAAATGTTTTTAGAAAGTGGGCAGGACCCAGTGAAGCCTTTGCCCAGCAAGGCTTCTGATTGACCTTAAGAGATTGAATTGGCTGTGCCGATTATCAAAAAAGGATCTTCACTGTGAGAATAGAGGAAAACTGCAGTGGCTGGCTCCACCTCCTGTGGCAGCCATTTTGTGATCGGCTCCACCTCCTGTGGCAGCCATTTTGTGATCGGTTCCACCTCCTGTGGCAGCCATTTTGTGGTCAGCTCCACCTCCTGTGGCAGCCATTTTATGGCTGGCTCCACCACCACGCAGTGTCAGAATTCCAAAGGTGCCCACGGACTTGGAAAGGCTGAAGACCCAGGACAAGGAATTATAATTTTACAAGGCTGCAAATAAAATTGTCCCCTTTATTATTACTGTATCTGAGCTGCAGACCATAAGGTCAGTACTTCGGCAGTTTGAGACCTGAGTGCCGCATGATGGAGTGAGCTCCTGTCTCTGGTCCCAGTTCCTGCCAACTGAGCAGTTCGATGGCAAGAAATTGCAAGTGGATAAATAGGTACCACTTCGGTGGGAAGGTAACAGCATTCCGTGCACCTTGGCATTTAGTTATGCCTGCCACATGACCACGGAAAAGTCTTTGGACAGCACTGGCTCTTCGGCTTAGAAATGGAGATGAGCACTGCCCCCTAGAGTCATATTCAACTGACTTTCGAGCAAAGGAAACCTTTACCTTTACCTTTACCTATCATCCCAACCAGGTCTACTCAGAATCCCACTCAGTAGGGTTGCCAGCTCTGGGTTAGGAAATACCAGGAGATTTGGGGGGTGGAGCCTAGAGGAGGGCGGGGTTTGGGGAGGGGAGGGACTTCACTGCGGCATAACGCCATGGAGTCCCCCTTCCAAATTAGCCATTATCTCCAGGCGAACGGATCTCTTTATTTATTTCATAAAATCACTCACCCCTTCCACTGGCTTAGTATGTCTTACAAGAAATAAAGTATCAAGAACGTACCATAAAATACAAGGTTGTTGTTGTTGTTTTAAAGCTATGCTGTTTGTCAATACACAGTAGATGAACCTGTAAAAATCAATTTGCGAATGCTCTATAGTACAGAGAAGGCTGATGGAACTTACGAACGGCCGGCAAGGAGGAAATGCTCTGAACGGTTTCCAGGCAGCTATTCCATAAAACTGGCATCAGTATTAAGAATGCATGAGATCTTCTTTTAGTCGGATGAGCCTGTCAGGGAGGGGGAGTCCAAGTTAAGGGGGTGCACAGCAGCGTACCCTCTAAGCTGAGTGAGTGTGAGCTAGCTCGCAGTTTTTTAGCCTCCGGCTCACACCTTTTTGTCTTAGCTCTGGAAGGGATGGCTCCAGAGCAAACTGATTTTTGCAGTGGACGAATCGCTCGCTCACAGCTTTAATGCCCGTAGCTCACAAAGTAGGATTTTTGCTCACAATACTCCACGGCTTAGAGGGAGCATTGGTGCACAGGCTCATTTCGAGAGGGGTGGTCCTTCAAGTGCCGTGACCCAGGTAGCCTAGGCTTGCCTGATCTTGTCAGATCTCAGAATCTAAACAGCGCAGGTCCTGGCTCGTGTTTGTACGGGAGACCTCCAAGGAATACCAGGGTCATGATGGAGAGGCAAGCCTACGCCCAGGAGATCTCCAGCCTCCACCTGGAGGTTGGCAGCACTGCTACTCGGGTCCATTCAACGGGGCTTCCTCCCAGGGAAGTGTTGGTAGGCTTGCACCATTAGCGTCTGAAGTTAAAAAATGTGCTGGAGAAATTGCCGTGGGGGTGCAATGGTATGGGCAGATTTTTCAACTAAATTGCCAAGGCAACCGGGCCGTTGCTCTTTGTAATAAAGTGGAATTGATTCGGTTCGGGTCGCTCTCTTTTTTATTTTTTAAATTAGGCCAATTAATCATCCCAATTAAAACAGAAGCCGTGCGCTGTATCATCACATGGGTGGGCTCTCTTAAGCGAACCCGGCCTAGCTTTGTTTGGAGATGGGGAGCAGGTGGCCGGCTAGGGTTGCCAACCTCCAGGCGGGGCCTGGAGACCTCCCAGATGTCAACGGACCTCCAGCCGACAAAGACCACTTCCCCTGGAGACAACAGTGGCATTTGAGGGTAATGTATAGTAGAACCTGCTATGGGCTAAGCATTACAATCATCTTAGCCCATGGCAGGTTCTACTATACATTACAGCTGTTATGATTATTGAAAATCTTCTTTGATAATTGTGAGACGTCACCAGAGGATATGAACTATTGAGAGACAGTTTTTGTCCCACATCTTTGTTCAGAAGTAGATCTTCCTTCGAAACGGCAAGACATTCCGGAGATCACCGTCAATATATATTTTTCTATGATTATGTATATTATTTTTGTTCACTTTTCTATGATTCTTTAAAGACATATATTAAGCGTCACTTTTTCACAGTTTTTCTTGTTCTCCGTATTATCTCACTACTGTGCCAATCAATTGTTATTAACCCTAGCAGGCTGCCAGGAGCAGGTGGGCAGGATGGCATGTGTTGGCAGTGTGCTCTTTGGCACCGGGAAGGGACTCCATTAATAGAATAGAAGTAAGGAGCAATACCGAAAAACAGAGGCTGACTTTAGCAGGCTCAGCCCGAGGAGGGATAAAGCCTGCGAGAATTCTGACCGGCGGAAGAGTGAGTGCGAGACGAAACGGCAGCTTGCCATTCCTCCAATCAGAATCTGAAGATGAAAATGAAAGATTAAGGGAGAAAGGAAGCGTGAAGAGATGGCGAGGTATTGGGGGGGGGGTGGAGTTAGCCGGAAACCGAGGTCTTGCTTCATCTTAATTAGAGCCTGTGTTCTGCTTCTCGCTCTCAGCTTTACAGTAATTACATTGTCATTACATTGCAACTGCAAGGCGATTATCCTGTAATTATGTTTTGGAGACCTACCTAATGGCTGGCTACCACCAGTTCATGCAAACTGAAATTGAACTCGGTGGTCTGGTTGCCCTTGACTTTCGGGTGCTGCCCCGAAAGCACTGGGCCCCCGTTTGATCTCACCAGAGCCATCCTCGATGAATGCTGCCTTTGCAGTTCGTCTTGGGGTTTTATTTATTTGTTTAAGTTATTCACGTCATTTAGTCCGCCTTTGTCACTCAGAAACCCCCGCCCCAGAGGCCCGTTCCCCGGCGCTGCCAGATCGGGTCCCGGGGGGAACTCCTCCTCGACGTGCGTGTCACCTGGTTTTCCCTTGTATGGTTGTGGCCCCACCCCCGGCGTGCCTGGCGTTGTCACGTCACTTCCGGGTGACGTGCATGCGGCGCGCACCAGACGCCGGCCGGGAGCCCCCCGCTCCCGGCGAAGATCGACTTAGCAACCCTAGTCGATACAGTCAACCGTATGGGACACTCATCGGGTTGTCGACCTCCAATCGGAAGCTGTAGATCTTCCAGAATTCTTACCAATCTCCAGGCTATAGAGAACCGGTCCCCCTAAGACAATGGTTGTTTTGGGAGGGGGACCCTGTGGCATTATACCCTGTTGTTGTCCCTCCCCAGGCTCTGCTCCAAAAATCTCCAAGGATTTCCCAACCTGGCAACCCTAGATGATCACTAAGCAATGTAATAAGATTAGGATTGTAGGACCAACCAGAAATCTGAAGAACAGAACGGAAGCAAAGTGTCAATGTTCACATAGGGTTGCCAGGTCTTACCTGGCTTCCAGTGGGGGGCTCCTGGGTCCATTCCGGGATTTCACGCTGCGGTGACGTCACCCGGAAGTGATGTCATCGCATTGCCGACATCTGGGGGGTGACACTCTAGTTTTTGGGCAGACCTCTATGGTTTGAGTCCGATTTTACCATAGAGTTTGCCCAAAAACTAGAGCATCACCCCCAACGTTGGCAACGTAATGACGTCACTTCCAGGTGACGTCATGACATAATGTTGGGGGCCATTGGCAGGTGTTGGCCAACTGGCTAGCAGTGGAAAGAGACCCACAAAAGCAGGGGAACCCCACCTGGACCAGGGGGCTGGTACCCCCATGTTAGCATGACATATTAAACGATGCAAAGTTTACATAGTAGGATCCTACCTGCAGCAAGCTATACATAGTACCTTCAGCCGTTCCACATTCCTTAATCATTTATCTAAATGATTTTGTGAATCATTTTGTAAAGTGCTGTCCTATTGTACAGTGCTATCCTACGCCCATGTCCATTTTTAAATGGAGGTTTGTGTCTAACGTGAGACATTTCCACCCCTAGTGACTTTTATAGGAAAGATCCATTCATAGGTGTTGGCCAGGAACCTATTATTGCCAGGGGAGCCTCGTGCTTTTTGAATACCAACATGCTGGTGATCCCTGACCCTGGGGATGTCTGGCTGTCCTCGGCCAGGGCCTTCGCAGTGCTGGCCCCGACCTGGTGGAACTCTCTGCCAAATGACATCAGGGTCCTGCAGGACTAAC